CTCTTGCATCGTGAACATGATGGCGTGAGCTGCGCATGGGCCGCGTCCAGCCCGGCACATGCGCAGACATCCTCCATGTGCCCGCTGATGGCCGGGGGATCGGGCAAAGGCGTGCATCTGCGGTGATAGGCTGCAGGGCACACAAGCGTGCATCTCTCTCCGCGCCCCCTCCCTCCCTCCCCGTTCCCCGTCCTCCCCCTCGGTGCTCCTACGATTGTCTGCTCCCCGGTGTGCGGCCTCGACTCTCTCCAAGGCCTCCCCCGCTCCTCGCCACACCCCGCTCCTCGACTGCCGGCGTCTTTCTGTCTCTGTCCCCACTCCCGTCTCTCTCTGCCCCCCGATTGGTCGCTCTCTCTCCCTCCCCCCCTCGGCACACTTGCCTCCTGCCTGCCTCCCATCTGTACATTAGCTCCTCCCTTCCGCCTCGTGCCCCTCTCCTCCTCCCCGCAGACGCCTCTCGCCCCCTTCTCAAACCCCTTCGCCGGCCATTCGACCTCTTCCCTGCAGTCGCAGTGCTGCTGCTGCTGTTGTTGCTGCTGCTGCTGCTGCTGCTGCTGCTGCTGCCGCCTCCCCTCTTCCCCCCCTCCCCCTCTCGCCCATCCCTTTCTCTCTTAGTGCCTCCGCCTGTCGACCCGCCTTTCTACCTCTCTGCAACCTGCGGGGCACTTCCTTGCCTCTGGTCTGCACCTCCGCCATTTCCCCTCCCCTTCCCTCGCCCCCGGCAGTTTCCCCTCTCCCCCGGTGACCCATGCATATGGATCTCTCCCCCATCCCGTGTTCCCCTCTCCGCCTCCGCTCTCCGCTCGTAACAAAGAGCAAGCAGATGCCTCTCCCCCCCCCCCGGAAAAGACAACATGTAGTAGCAGCCAGAGAAGAGGATCATCACCACCATTCTTTGCGCGCAAACACACACATACCTGAGCAATCAAAGGACCGCATACACCCCCCCCCTATCCACATACACCAACATCCACACAGACACCGACACATTGACCCCTGCACACATGCACCGGTAAAAGCATGCATACATGCACACCCGGGTGTGCATGGTCTCGCACGCAATTCACCACGTCGGGGGGAAGCGGCGGGGGGGGGGGCCGGTCCAGGGCCGAGGCAGGGATCAAGGACCGCAGCGAGAGCCACGCTGAGGGAGGGGGGGCAGCCAGGGGGAAAGAGGTAAACACCGGGCACCTGCTCCGCGGCTCATCTACCCTCGCCCCTGTCTCCCATGGTCGGGCCAGCGCGGCCGAACAAAGTACCACGCTCGACAGTGTGTATCATACAGGAGAGGACCAGCCGGTGGTAAGCAACCAGGGGCGCAAGAAAGGAAGGCACGCAGGACAGAAGAGGTGGAACCACGGAAGGCGGCAATGTGAATATTTCCAACGAGGGTTGACGGGGAGGAGGGGCCAGACTCCATGCGGAGGGGACAAGAAAGGGCCGAAAAGGCCGACCGGCGATATACATATACCATGCCGTCGGCGCTGAGCGGACATATGCCAATCTACGGTGCGAGCCACCGAACCGCCCGCCCGGCGATCGCCGACACGACATCATCGTCCTGGTGCGTGCGTAGATGCATGTGCGTGCGTGCGTATGCGTGTACGCGTGTATGCGTGCACGGGTGGGTGGGCCAAGCCGAACGGCCTGTGAGTGACTGAACAACCGGACAGGGGCCAGTGCAGCAGAGGCCGAGAGGGGGAGAGAGACAAGGAAATGGAAAGCCAGGACGACACGCACCTCAAAGCTCCACCGAACTTCCAGGCCACAGATGGTGGCGTTCGGGTCCTCGGCCGGCAGCGGGTCCTCGGGGGCTGGCGATCCGTCCACGGCCTCGGACACCGTGGACAGCCGGGCCGCCTCATTGGCTGGCACGTGCTGGAGGAAACGCAGCCGAACCGTGTGGCCAACATGGATGCCATGCTCCTCGACCATGCGCACAAGGATGTTCTGTTCCAGGAAGAAGGCCCGGCTCCGGTGGAAGAACCGCCGGGCCAGGTGCTCCAGCGCCGCAGAGCCGGTCGTCTCGGCCGAATCCAATGCCCCCTCCTCGTCCAGGTGAACCGGCAGCCGGAAGACCGCCCGGAAGGTCACCTCGTGCAGGGGCCGGTCGGCCAACTTCCCCAGCTCCGCTGGCGAGATCAGGCGCAGCGGCTCGAACTGAATGGCCGGCCGGGGGACCGTGTGTGATGATGATCGAGATGAGGTTGAGGGTGGGGGTGAGAATAAGGGTGAGAATAAGGGTGAGAATAAGGGTGAGAATGAGGGCGAGGATGAGGGCGAGGATGATGATTGGCCAGGGCACCCGCCGAGAGGGGCAAAGAGCGAGAGGCACGGCGTACAGGCGCATCCGTCGACCGGACCACAAACCCGTGGACCTTGACCACTGGCCGCGACGCAGCCACCGAGAGCGAATGCTGGGAGGCCACTGGAGCAGGCGAGACGGGCCGGTTAGCAGGCAGGCACGGGAAGACATATCCGTAGGCAAATGCATGGAGCAGAGGCATGAACAGAAGCGGGGGGCGTGGGGTGGGGGAGACGCGCGCGCGCGCGCGTGGTGTCAGCCCTCCCCCCCCCCCCCCGGAGATATCTCTCCCTGTC